CGTGCCGCAGGGACGCGGGCCAATTTTATACTCCTATTAATGTAAATGTTAACACGTCAATGTGAATATTCACATTGTCAATGGCCCGGCCCGTCCCGGCTCCGGCGGGTTTCGGACCGCTCACGGGCCAATTTTACATTCCTACCAATGTGAATTTTAAAATATAAATATTCAATCATAAAATTGTTAATCGTTCAAAAAATATTTATAAGGGTATCAAAATTAAATCTAAGGCATAAGTGTCAAGAAAATAGTGTAATCAAGAAAAAGACTTTATGGAATAAAACTAATACATACATGGGACTAAATGGGTTAAAAAATTCCTTCATGGACTTCTTAAATTAAAACACTTTTAAATTGATTTATCAATAATTTGCCCATTAATTCTTGAGTGAAAGTTTATCACTACATCTTTACTAAATAATCGGTATGGATTGAGTTGGGTCGAGTGGCCTCCATCTGCCATCCCTCCAAACTTACTCAGATTAAAAAAAAAAAAACATCAACATCTATTCACTCAAATCATTGAAACTACGTATTCTATGGCAAATTAGTTCGGACTATTCGATTTTGACAATTTGAATAGATGCTTGCTCAACAAATTGGGAAAAACAATTAGGAACTTTGCTACATAATTATATACATGTTAAGTGGACAAGAGTGAAAAGATGAAGCTTTGGCCGAATGTTTTTTGGCCGAGTTTGAATAACATTGTTGCATACCCTCAGTGGGGGTGACTCCCAGTGAGAGTGTGGATGGGAATAAAAAAAAAAAAAATAGTATTTTTTTTTATCTCAATTATGACTGCCACATCAACTTCGACCCCAAGAGTGTATGTAGCCCATGTTTTTGCCGAGTTTGAATAAATACAAGATCATTTATTAATACAAGCTTGGCTCAAACTTAGCTCAGTGTCATGGACCGACTCCGATCGTACTACCCTGGGCAAACGTCACGAAATTGGCCTTGCAGGACGACACCCAACCCGGCTAATATCCACCCCTAAACGGGCTTGGCTGAGAGAGAGTTAATTTTGAGCCGCACATAATGCCGAATCGATCACGGGCATGACCCATTTATCTTAACAATATTTGCCGCGAAGTGCTTCAATCAAACCCTAGTTTGCAGAGAGAGTATCATAGACTCGTCACTCCAAAACCTCACATAGCAGCTCTGCTCTGGCAACAATGGCGATTTCAGATTCCAAGAAACCAGAACGCAGTCAAGACCTAGAGCTCTTGAAATCCGACGTCGTTTCCTTCGCCTCCTCAATCGGCCTCTCCCCCTCTCTCCCTAGTTCCTCCGGCGGCTTCGACGATTCCGATTTCCGCAAAACCGGTCATCTCAAACCCAACAAAAAATCGCAGCCAAACAAGCCTTTAAAGCAACCGAACTCCAATGGCGAAGCAAAACCACAGCTCAACAAGAAGAGAAACAGCAATGAACGGCCTAAACCTAGGGTTTTTCAACCGGTCGATAATTCGAGAGGGTTTGATAAGTTAAGAACCTCCGAAGCTTCCATTGATGAAGCCGAGCTCGCTGGGCGTATGGCACGTCGACGAGGCTGAATTGGAGGAGAAAGTCATATCGAAGAAGAAGGTTTTGTTTGGGGATTTGGTGGAGTGGAAGAGATTGGTGGCGGAGAAAGAAGGAGCTTGGGCTAGGTTAATGGCGCAGTACACGCAGGACTATGAATTGTCGAGGGTCAGAGTGGGACATAAAGATGCTCACTGCTACGCAGAGGTCGGGGACTGCGGCCGACAAGGTGTCGGCTTTTTCGGTCATGGTTGGCGAGAACCCAATTGCGAACATGAGATCACTTGATGCTCTTTTGGGTAATTCATTTATTGTTATCAGTTTGTGTGATTTTGAGTTTAGTTGAAGAAAAAGTTTTTTAATTGTATGCTTTAATGGTAACGGGTGGTGAGCTACCCGGCGGTGTGTGGCCGGAAAACCCCTCCGACGATCAAGTTAGCACACACCTGAGGATAGAGAGAATGAGAGGTGAATGGAGTGTAAGTGTTTCTCTTACCAAATGTTCGTCTCTTCGGCATGGGGGGCACAGACTTGCTTATATACCTTCTGTGCCCCAAATCTACTCCCAGTGATTTCTTGACACGTGGTTCTGCTATCCCATCTGTCAGCACAAATCTTGCTGAACATCACCTAACCCAACTGCCAGCCCACTCTATTGGGAGCTCGGCAGCCGGGCTGAATCTTCTCGGCTGTCGACGGTCATGCTGTGTTCCATGCCCAATTGCTCCAGGAACTGAGATCCTTTCCAGCCATGCTCGGCAGCATTCCAGCGGAGCAGACCTTCAGACTGGCCGTACCGGTCAACCAAAGGCCATCCAGCCGGGCTTCTGGCACAAGCTTCTTGACCGGGCTAACGGTGCGAGCCCTTGACCAGGCAACGCAAGTTGCGCGGTTATCACCTGCGCAAATCCAAATGGCTCGGTCCATCTCTGAGCAGCCCCAACTCCGGGCAAATCTAAAGTTATCGCGACCCAACGCACCATTGGGCCTCCAATTTTTCTCGGCCTCTAACTCGGCCCATAACCGGCTCATAATTCTCCCTCTCACCCGCCTCGAGCTGCGGTCAGGCTTCGGGCCAATTTTACACTCTTATCAATGTAAATGTTAACATGTCAATGTGAATATTCACATTGTCAACGGGCCGGGTCGGGCCCGCCCTAGGTCGTTGGCCAATTTTATACTCTTATCAATGTGAATATTCACATTGTCAACAGGCCGAGTTGGGCCCGCCCCGGGCCGCGCCACAGGCCGTGGCGGGTTTCGGGCAGCCACGAGGCGCGGGCTAATTTTACACTCCTATCAATGTGAATGTTAACATGTCAATGTGAATATTCACATTGTCAACGGGCTGGGCCCTCCCCGGGCCGCGGGCGGGCTTTTGGCCGCCCATGGGTCGCGAGTCAATTTTGTACTCTTATCAATGTGAATGTTAACATGTCAATGTGAATATTCACATTGTCAACAGGCCGGGCCGGGCTTGCCCCGGGCCGCCCATGGGCCGTGGGCGGGTTTTGGGTAGCCACGAGGCGCGGGCTAATTTTACACTCCTAACAATGTGAATGTTAACATGTCAATGTGAATATTCACATTATTAACGGGTGGGGTCGGGCCCGCCCTGGGCTGCTGACCAATTTTATACTCTTATCAATGTGAATGTTAACATGTCAATGTGAATATTCACATTGTCAACGGGTCGGGTCGGGTCGGGTCGGACCCGCCCTGGGCCGCTGGCCAATTTTATACTCCTATCAGTGTGAATGTTAACATGTCAATGTGAATATTCACATTGTCAACGGGCAGGGTCGGGCTCGCCCCGGGCCGCTGGCCAATTTTATACTCCTATCAATGTGAATATTAACATGTCAATGTGAATATTCACATTGTCAACGGGCCGGGTCGGGCCCGCTCTGGGCCATTGGCCAATTTTATACTCTTATCAATGTGAATGTTAACATGTCAATGTGAATATTCACATTGTCAACGGGCTGGGTCGGACCAGCCCTGGGCCACTGGCCAATTTTATACTCTTATCAATGTCAATGTTAACATGTCAATGTGAATATTCACATTGTCAACAGGCTGGGCCGGGCCCGCCCCGGGCCGCCCATGAGCCGTGGGCGGGTTTTGGGCAGCCACGAGGCGCAGACTAATTTTATACTCCTATCAATGTGAATATTAACATGTCAATGTGAATATTCACATTGTCAATGGGTCAGGCCGGGCCTGCCCCGGGCGGCGGGTGGGCTTTTGGCCGCCCATGGGCCGCGGGCCAATTTTATACTTTTATTAATGTAAATGTTAACATGTCAATGTGAATATTCACATTGTCAACGGGTCAGACCGGGCTTGCCCCGGGCCACCCATGGGCTGCGGGTGGGTTTCGTGCTGCCACGGGACGCGGGCCAATTTTACACTCCTATTAATGTAAATGTTAACACGTCAATGTGAATATTTACATTGTCAACGGGTCGGGCCCGTCCCGGCTCCCGGGCGGGTTTCGGACCGCTCACGGGCCAATTTTACATTCCTACCAATGTGAATTTTAAAATATAAATATTCATATCATAAAATTGTTAATCGTTCAAAAAATATTTATAAGGGTATCAAAATTAAATCTAAGGGCATAAGTGTCTAAGAAAATAGTGTAAATCAAGAAAAAAGACTTTATGGAATAAAACTATACATACATGGGACTAAATGGGTTAAAAAATTCCTTCATGGACTTCTTAAATTAAAACACTTCTAAATTGGATTTATCAATAATTTGCCCATTAATTCTTGAGTGAAAGTTTATCACTACATCTTTACTAAATAATCGGTATGGATTGAGTTGGGTCGAGTGGCCTTCCATCTGCCATCCCTCCAAACTTACTCAGATTAAAAAAAAAATACATCAACATCTATTCACTCAAATCATTGAAACTACGTATTCTATGGCAAATTAGTTCGGACTATTCGATTTTGACAATTTGAATAGATGCTTGCTCAACAAATTGGGAAAAACAATTCAGGAACTTTGCTACATAATTATATACATGTTAAGTGGACAAGAGTGAAAAGATGAAGGCTTGGTTTGGGAAGTAGGTTGGCTTTTTGGCTTTTTGACTTTTTTGACTATTTTAGCCTGGGCTAAAAAGCTTGGTTTGGGAAGGACTTTTTGGCTTTTTGACTTTTTTGACTTTTTTTTGTGAGAGAAGAATGTAATGATTATAGGTTGGATGTGATGTTTTGTTTGTTATGGCTAAAATAGCCTATTTTGTTTTTTGTGACTAAAATAGCCAAAAAAACTTAAAAATCAACTCGCCAAACAGAGGCTATGTAAGCCCAATGTTTAAAATTAGGCCGAGTTTGAATAAATACAAGATCATTTATTAATACAAGCTTGGCTCAAACTTAGCTCAGTGTCATGGACCGACTCCGATCGTACTACCCTGGGCAAAACGTCACGAAATTGGCCTTGCAGGGACACCCAACCCGGCTAATATCCACCCCTAAACGGGCTTGGCTGAGAGAGAGTTAATTTTGAGCCGCACATAATGCCGAATCGGATCACGGGCATGACCCATTTATCTTAACAATATTTGCCGCGAAGTGCTTCAATCAAACCCTAGTTTGCAGAGAGAGTATCATAGACTCGTCACTCCCAAAACCTCACATAGCAGCTCTGCTCTGGCAACAATGGCGATTTCAGATTCCAAGAAACCAGAACGCAGTCAAGACCTAGAGCTCTTGAAATCCGACGTCGTTTCCTTCGCCTCCTCAATCGGCCTCTCCTCCTCTCTCCCTAGTTCCTCCGGCGGCTTCGACGATTCCGATTTCCGCAAAACCGGTCATCTCAAACCCAACAAAAAATCGCAGCCAAACAAGCCTTTAAAGCAACCGAACTCCAATGGCGAAGCAAAACCACAGCTCAACAAGAAGAGAAACAGCAATGAACGGCCTAAACCTAGGGTTTTTCAACCGGTCGATAATTCGAGAGGGTTTGATAAGTTTAAGAACCTTCCGAAGCTTCCATTGATGAAGCCGAGCTCGCTGGGCGTATGGCACGTCGACGAGGCTGAATTGGAGGAGAAAGTCATATCGAAGAAGAAGGTTTTGTTTGGGGATTTGGTGGAGTGGAAGAGATTGGTGGCGGAGAAGAAGGAGCTTGGGGCTAGGTTAATGGCGCAGTACACGCAGGACTATGAATTGTCGAGGGGTCAGAGTGGGGACATAAAGATGCTCACTGCTACGCAGAGGTCGGGGACTGCGGCCGACAAGGTGTCGGCTTTTTCGGTCATGGTTGGCGAGAACCCAATTGCGAACATGAGATCACTTGATGCTCTTTTGGGTAATTCATTTATTGTTATCAGTTTGTGTGATTTTGAGTTTAGTTGAAGAAAAAGTTTTTTAATTGTATGCTTTAATGGGTAACGGTGTCACTGGGTTTGTCAATTCCAGTAAGATAATTTTAGAGCAAGACAAGTTCACAATAGAAACTATAAATGACTTGGTATTGTTGGAGGAGGACTCTGTGTTCCATCTTTCGCTGCATCCTGAGCTTGCTTGAGAGTTGTTGGATTTACTGGGGGGAGCATTCGATATGATATCCCCAATTCATTTTACTGTTATCAATTTGTGTAATTTTGAGTTCAGAATAGTTTTTATATGTCTGTACTTTGTATTGAGGTGGTTGGGAAGTTGAAGAGAAAGGTTTTAATTGTAGGATTGGACTGTGGTGTGTGCTTTAATGATAGAAGCGTCAATGGGTTTCTCAAATTCAGTAATGTAATTTTAGTTCACTGAAAATAGAGCAAGACAAGTTCACAGCAGAAACTAGAAATGACTTGGTATAGCGGAGGAGGAGTCTGTCTGCCATCTTTTGAGCTTGCTTGAGAGTTGTTGGCTTTGTTGATTTGCTTGGTTTGGGTTGATTGGGTCATGCTGCCCAGTTGTTTTGGGGGTTGGAGCACGGTGGTGTGAGGGAGGGGGCAAGGAAAGATAAGGTGCAGCCACGTGTTATGAGCTAGAGAGGAATAGTGGAATGGGCAGTCGTCTGCTGGTGTGAAAATTGGAGTATTCAAATTAAAAAGCACACTTTGCTGAATTTATGTTAGATTGGTTGGTGGAAACCTTTCATTTCAAGCTGGATTATTTACATATAGATTTTTTTGGTTATCATGATCATTTCAATCTAGCTATTTCGGCCTTCTAGAATTTATTTTAAATATTTTGTGCTGAAGGGAGCTTACATGCACATTTAAACTTTTATTTTTTATATTTATGTTTCCAACTGATTCTAATTTGTTATTGGCAGTCAATCACTGCCATATTCTGTTAATATTCATCATATCCAATAATTTGCTATTAAAGTAGTTAACAATGTGATGCAGGAATGGTGACATCAAAAGTGGGAAAGCGCCATGCCCTAACGGGGTTTGAAGCTCTAAAAGAACTCTTTATTTCAAGGTTCTCTCTGTGTGTGTGTGTGTGTGTGTGTGTGTGAGTGTGTGCACACGCATGCTTGTGTGCATAGTTAGTAAATGTAATTTATTGTTGTGTCGTGCTTATGTCTTTGGGTTTGGATCTGCAGGCACAAAAATATTGGATTGGCCACTAACTTTATCCACCCCTGCTTTTACTTGTTTGATGTTTTCTTGTTATGAATTGATAATATGCTTTTTAATGATATAATGAGACTAGTTATTCTGAAAGTATGGAAACAGATTATAATAGTTGCTGTGTTATGCTGCCACCATACTCAATATGAGATTGCCTGTGTGCGCGGGGGTGGGTGTGCCTGGTCTTCTCTTAGATTCGTGTCCCAATGGTTTCAATATAATTTGGATCTGACCGTACAGAAAAATTTTGGGTACATGCCACTGATGCAATATTTTAATGTTTGTACTGTTTCTTTCCAGTCTGTTACCTGATCGCAAATTGAAGACACTTTTCCAGCGGCCTTTAAATCATCTTCCGGAGTCAAAAGATGGTTACTCTCTACTACTTTTTTGGCATTGGGAGGAATGCCTAAAGCAGAGGTATCTATGAACCTGTTTCTTCTTTTTTTACACTTGAACCAATAGCTAGGCATGGCATGTCCATTCTTTTTCATAACTTGTGTAAGTAGTCATCATAATCAAACTTAATGATGATGAGGTTTGGAGTTATCAGATGCTACAGACTAAATTATAGAAGATAGGGGTTTGAGTTCATTGGATATCACAACACTTGAGGAAGAAAACTAAGTGATAGGCAGAAATGTGTTAGAATTTACCATTCTCACTCACCTACTACACTCCACCTACCACCAATTTACCCTCACCTACTCCTCACCTACTACCCAAACCCTCTCCTATATAATGCCACTCTGATTTGTAATACAATAAATCAATATAACAATCTTGTAGAACATCAATCAATAATAATACATATATTCATGGTATCAGAGCAGGTTTAGAACCTGGTATTTTCGCTTCCCCGGCGGGCGGTAATCTCACCTTAGCCGCCCGCCGGACCTCAACCTAGTCCGCTAGAATTTTGCTACACATACCTTCACTTTGCTTCACCACCTTTGCCTCGCTTCTGAAATAAAAGACAGCCACCACACCACCAATCACCGCTACTCCCACGGCACCCATCTCATTGGTGTTCAATAGTTTAGTTGTCATTGGTGTTCAAACTCCAAACTGCATCAGACAGACTGTCTTTGATGCTGTAACATTGGATTACAAAAATGTTACTGTTATTGTTGATGCCACAGCTGCTGCCACACCTGACGTACATGTTGGTTGTTCGCGAGCATGACCCACTTGGAAGGGATGTTGAGCTCTTCCGTCGGCACCCATCTCACCCGCCTCTCCATCCAGCCTCATACCTGCCATGCGCCGTCCCTCTCCTTCACTTCTCTCGCCGACAACGTCTTCACCTCCGCCGTCTCTCCTCCACATCACGGCCGGCAACAGCCGCCAGCGCTACCAACCATAACCTCGGCCTCTATCAGATCGGCACGTGTCTCTTCCCTAGTTGCTTCCCAGTCACCGTCAGCCCAACCACCACGCCGCCACTCGCGTCGCTACTCATAAGTAAGAAAAGACATCCTTTTACTCTTTAATCATTTTTTCAATTTGTAAACTAAAGTAAGAAAGGACATGGATTTTGAAGATCATTCATATAAATGTGCTACATGATGTTGGACTGTAGACTCCTTTCCATTAGGTCAATGCTCAGTCATGTATGAATGTATTTTGTTATTGCAGGTATGAACGTTTTGTTGCTGCAGTTGAGGAAGCATCAAGAGATATGTTACCTATACTAAAAGACAAAGCATTGAAGGTTGCTGGTCTATTTATGTTTGTTCGATGCGGTGTCTACCTTATACAAATATAAGCACCCGCTTTTTTTTATTTATTTTATTTTTCAGGCCTTTATGTATACCATCACATATCCACTCTTAGATTGTCAGTCCAAAAACTCTAGATTGTTAACTTATTTTTTCTTCTTGGAATGGTGTGTAATTTTGCATGATGTTTTCTTAATTGTGTTCAGATCATTTACGCATTGTTGAGGAGTAAATCAGAGCAAGAGCGCAAATTGCTTTCGTCACTAGTTAACAAGGTATGTTTGTATGAATTTCACTTTGTTTGAAAATATGAAACATTAAATGTATTAACTTTCATGTTATTATCATTGTGCCTTGAACTTATAGCATTATAGCTTATTTGAATATATTCCCATTTTTTGCTTGCCTACAGCTTGGGGATCCTGAAAATAAGGCTGCATCTAATGCCGATTTTCATTTATCAAAGCTTCTGACTGACCATCCACAAATGAAGGTGAAGTATCTAGTTTTACATTTGTATCTTTGCGAATCTTTTACTTACCATATATATTAATATATATATATTAATTTTCTTTTTGAGGCATTCTTGTTTGTAGAATTAACTGTTTTGATTATTTGTAGATAATATAGCTAGAAATCAGAAAGTTTTGTAATAATAGGACAAGTCAGCTTTCTCATGATTGGGGCAATTAAAAAGGGGGAATAAGTTTCTTAAGGTGTTATATGGTGATGTTAATCTAGCAGGAAGCTGCTTTTTTTATTAACTCGTTTTCCTTCTCTTCATGCAGGCTGTTGTAATTGATGAGGTGGATACTTTTCTCTTTCGGCCTCATTTGGGATTGCGAGCCAAGTATCATACTGTATGTCTAAACTAGTATAATCTTTACCTTTTGAATTTTTACTTGAAACATTTGGGTTGTGTTTTTCTCATGGTTAGTGAAGCATTTTTTTTTGAAGGGGTGTGTTTGTGCACGTTATCAACGGTGTTATTGTAATCGTGTATTCATGCATTTAGGACAATGATTTTTTTATTTTTTTTCTCTTGAAAGATCACTAATACTTGATAATAACTATATATATTATTTTCATTCCTAAATCAAAATTGGGTTCCACTAAAAAATTAAATGTAAATGACAACATTATCATAAATAATTAATAAAAAAGGCAAAGAGGTATATTATTCATCCCTAGTGGATTCTTGAACTTCTATAAAAATATTTTGAAAAATGGGACTTAATTGTGTACGCATATTTTTATAGGACTAAATGGTCACTGAGAAGGAAGAGTAAGACTTGCTAAGTGGCCTGCTTATTCGCATATTTCTATAATTGTGTACTTTTCCAATGCTTCTTCATCAAAATATCCTTTCTGGTTGATAGCTGCAAGAATAACAAGTTTGCTTCTAAAATGGAGTTTGTTTACTTCTATGTAGCCATTTTGGCCTTCTCTCCTTAATTGTATCGACTCATAATCTCGTGCCATCATTCATCTTGCTAAGTGGTGATCTTTTAACTGGTTAAAGGTTTTTTTAATATCTGCTAGCCTAAAAGTTATTCAAATTAGTGTGGTACCAATCGATTTCTGAGTTCTATTTGTGGAATAGTAGACCATAGACCCATGATTTTAAACATGATCTTTCTCCATGACTTCACTACTCTTTCAGTGACCTGAACATTATACTGATCTGATCCTGTTCATATGAAGGTAAACTTCTTGAGCCAAATTCGTCTGAGTCACAAAGGAGATGGACCTAAGGTGGCAAAGCGTTTGATTGATGTTTATTTTGCTCTATTTAAGGTATTGAGAGAGCCCATACCTTTATTGGGTTAGTGTTCCATAATTGAGTCTCTAAGTCTGTACCTATCAACTGCCTTACCTTTTTTCTGGAAAAAGTTTTGTCCTGTATCCCAATATCAGGCCATCTCTGCTGTATTCCGTGGTTATTGATGCACTCTTATTGTTGTGCATCATATAATTTTTTGAAATTTGATTGTTGTTGAACTTTTCTATTTCAGGTACTTATTTCTGAGGCTGATGGGAGTCTTAAGACAGACAAAAACAGGAAAGAAGAGGATAAGAAAGCTTCCAGTTCTTCCAAAGATAGTAAAGTAAAAAGCCAGCCCTCAGAATCTCATGCTGAAATGGACTCACGATTGCTAACAGCTCTCCTGACGGTTAGTCCAAAGACTTATTGTTTCTGCTTAAAAAGTTTTACTACATGCGATATATCAGCTCCTCTATAAAGGCTGCTGAGCTATACATTCTAACTCTTCAAAGAAGTCTCATCTGACACACTCAGCCTCATAATTTTTCTTGTCATTCATGAGTTGCTAGAAGTTGGTGTAAATGAATTCTAACATCTTTCTGAGAATTTCTGAACTTTAGGTGTTCTGCCTATAATTTCATGCTCAATTTTAATTGTTGAGAGATGTTTCTATGATTCTTAGGTATGTGGATTTCATTATTCATTGAGGCCAATTCTTAAAGGATAACAAGGTTGATTACTGCTAATTTGCAAAAATATCTGAGATTTTGAGAATTGGTATCACTTTTTTTTTTGACACATGGTTTTGGGTCTATATCACATGGACTTGGGTACAGGTGTCTAGTGTGGGTGTTTGTCTAAGTGCCCAATTCATCTAATTCTCATGTCCAAGGACACTGGGACACAAAAATATTCATATTTCTTAATATGTTTCTTTTTATTTTCTAGGGTAAAATGGTGTTCACTAAGAAGCACGAACACGAACACGGACACGGATGCGGACACGTAACACGACATGGATACAACACTGACACATAGACAACAATTTTCAAAAAAATACAGGACACGACACGTGGGGGACACGCACAGAATATGTAATTTTATATATTTATTATAAATCATATATATGAACATATCATTCTAAGACAATAACCTTGAGGTTATGGGTTCAAGTCTTGGGACCACAACTTTACGCATTATGCCAAAAAGGTTAGGTGTCTACTGAATCTTTCCCCTCCCAAACACACATTAATGTGTACTTATTGGGCGTTGTTTTTTTTATCATTCTAAGACAATAAATAAATACAATATAACACTAACTTCTATAAATTGACATTATTTTTCTTTTATCATTTTATTATAAGTTATTTTGTTCAAACTTACAATTAGTTTCGTGTGTGTCTAGTCAATGGAGACATGTCCTCCAGGTTTCCAAAGAGTGTCCAAGTCTAATTTTTTTAAAAAAAATTAGGACATGTTTGGATGAGTGTTACATGTTGGGAGAGTGTCCAATGAATAGCGGTGTCCGACACGGACACGACATAGATACGCACCTTTTTAGAAGTGTTTGTGCTTCTTAGGGTGTTCACAAGAGTGCCATAGAGCATTTCATACAGAATATGGGGTTTTTTACTCTCATGTTGAAGAAGCATTTCATACAGATAGGTGAATGTCCAATCTGTTGCACCCTCTTCTTGTGGTAGCCAATTTTTACTCTCATGTTGAAGAAGCAGCATGGTGTTGGAGTTTTAATGAAATGTGACGTTTCTTATAAAATAATACCATGGAAAGAAAGTGTCAAAAAATGGTAGAAAGTTTTCATCATATGATGATAATTTACATACATTTTACATGTTCACATTACTATCAGCTCTATTTTACTTTGGTGCAAGAGAAACCTCACTCCAAAACTTGTTCAGGGCTTACTTGTGTCCTTTTTCCTTTTCACTCAGGGAGTCAATAGAGCATTTCCTTTTGTTTCTAGTAATGAAGCTGATGACATTATTGAGGTGCAAACACCAATGCTCTTCCAGCTGGTAAGCTCATGAGCTTCTTGTTAATTCATTTCTTCCGAGTACGGGAAAGCCTTATTTTATAATGTATTATGTTTTATCACTGGAGATATGGATTTGAATATTGTTAGAGATCATATAGGCATCTGAATCTCAAAATTATCACCTACATCTGCAGGTTCATTCAAAAAACTTCAATGTGGGAGTTCAAGCCTTAATGCTTCTTGATAAGATCTCATCCAAAAATCAAATTCTTAGTGATCGGTTTTACCGTGCCTTGTATTCAAAACTTCTACTTCCAGCTGCCATGAATTCTTCCAAGGCAAGTGTGTTTTGTTACTTTTGTTTGAAATACATTGCAGCTTTATGTGTTTCTTTATGCTTTGCAAGGAATTTTAGGAAATTACTTTTATGGAAAGCCCAACAATAGAGTATTGATGGTGTTTATAATTTCTAGAATTCCTTGTTAAATATGTTATAAGAATCTGAGATGCCTTCTGTCATTTGAGATTAATCTACAAATCCTTTTCATTATTTCAATGTTGAGATGTGGACGGTGTTTGAGTCATAAGATGATAATAAACTAAAATAATGCCAGCGCCTTCTTTCCTGTCTGTCACCTTCCAATGTTTCATTTTATTTTATTTTTTTGATATTTTACTTGTTTCTGTTCTGTATCTTGATTTAGTATGATCAGAATGGTATTCGAGTAGCTAATTCTTCTTTTTCCCTTTCTAATTTTTTTGGGTTCATGGATTACATTTCAGGAAGAGATGTTTATTGGGCTACTCTTGAGGGCTATGAAGAATGATATTAATTTAAAGAGAGTATCAGCCTTTGCAAAGCGTTTATTGCAGGTGAGTGATGAAACATGTTCTTACCTTGTTTTGCCCTTAATGCTCGTGTTTGTCTCTAGCAAGTATATAATCTCCACTTTATCATGTGGGACTTGATTTCTTTCTTTGCTCCTGTTTGGAGCAAGTTGAAATTGTTTAAGATAATGAGGAAGAGGCAATGATTGATCTAAGTTTAGGGTTTTTAACTGGCTATAATCTTTGACAGGTTGCCCTTCAGCAGCCACCTCAGTATGCCTGTGGATGTCTTTTTCTCCTCTCGGAAGTCCTTAAAGCAAGGCCACCTCTATGGTACCACTGGTTTTGAATGTTAATATGGCAAGCACCAAGTTGGTTCTTGTCTTGGTTGATGAAGACTCTTCCATTCTCATTAACGTTACTCTTATAATTCAGGCACATGGCACTCCAGAATGAGTCAGTTGATGAAGATCTTGAGCATTTTGAAGATATTGTAGAAGAAACCAAAAATGAAGTATGCACCAAATCAAATGAACCAGATAATGCCATTGAAACTGTTTGTGCTGGTGATAACACTGAGACTGACAGTGATTCCTTGCAAGATGAAGGTGTTTCTCCTACTTATGACTTTGATAGTGATGTTTCAAATGGAGCAGATGATGATGACTTGCTTGTTGGACGTGGTTTAGAAGATGTGAAGGAATCCAAAACAATGTCTGATAAAACTAGGCAGCAACCTCAAGTACCCAACACAAAGACTTCATTGCCCGGAGAGTACGACCCGCGGCACAGGGAGCCTTCTTATTGGTAATTCCATCTTCTTTGTATTGTATTTGAACATGTGTGCTTCAAGGGATTGCAAAATGCCCTTTCTCTTTACTTGAAAAAATCAACCCCTTCCATGTTTTCTGATGAAATTGCTGTGCAATGAAAAAGGCATTGGGGCCTGTTTGGTGTATAGTTTCTTGCAAGCTAAAATCTAATAATTGGAAAGTAGATGTTTAAATCACCCTTCCGTGCTTTTTAATAGTAAACTTTTTTCAGCTTTTTAAGCTAATTATGCCTCATAAATTATAAGCAAAAGTTGCACCAAGTACTCTGATACAAATTTCCAAAAAAGAAGAAGAAAAGGCTATAAGCAGCCTCATAAGTTTGCACCAAACAAGGCCTTTGTATGAAAGTAGTTTAGCTAAAGCCTTATATTTTTGTGCACAACTTTACCCTATGTTTTAGGTACCTTCAATTTTTTCTATCATGGCATCATATTTCTATTTCAGTTCTGTTAATTTTGGTTTTATGTATCAACAGCAATGCAGATCATGTAAGCTGGTGGGAGCTTACAGTTCTGTCTTCACATGTGCACCCATCGGTTGCTACCATGGCTAGAACCATTCTTTCCGGGGTCAACATTGTGTACAATGGAAATCCATTAAATGATCTTTCACTTGCTGCTTTCCTAGACAAGTTCATGGAGAAGAAACCAAAGCAGAGCACATGGCATGGTGGTTCCGAGATTGAACCTGCCAAAAAGGTTGGTTATTTACATTACAGTTTTATGGTGGAAGTTTGCGTCAGATTTCCTGGTTCTTTGTGAAGCTTTCAGATGTTATTTTCTATGGTTAACACTTTAATCTTATCCGACTTTTATAGAAACCCTTTTTGGTGGGGTTTGACAATGTTTTGTTAGCAGGTTTTTTGTTGGTTTTTTCATCTTTAGAAATTTTTAGGCTGTGTTTGGTTGGGAGATTTAGGGAGAGATTTGTAAAGGGAAACGGAAAATGTGTGTAAAATTAGGTGAAATGTAGATATATTTTATTCACATTTCACTTACCTTTACCTTTCCCTTTTCAAATCCCCCAACCAAACACAGCCTTAGATTCTACTAGACTAGATGGACCTGAAAAGTAAAAATGATATATATATTTTTTGAGAAAAAGTCCACTACAGACAAAAAGAAGCTAAATTAAAAGAACTACTTTTTTGTTTTTCATTTTTTAGTGAACTTTGTTTTAGAGTTTTTTTTAAAAAAAAATTGTTTACTTTCAGATTCTTCTAGATTAGATGGACTCAAAAAGAAAAGAATTTGACACAAATGTAGGACAATTTAACTAAAGGCAAAAAAGATTAGAAAAAAAGTGATTTTTTTAGTTGATGCCTGGTATTAGAGTAGGTTTTTATGCGTGGTTGAGTTTTGAGTTTTAATGTTGTAGCACTTCCACAATAGGTATGACTGGTATTTTAATTTATGCGATTCATTTGAGATTGCTGACTCTCTCTCTCTCTTCAGCTCGACATGAACCACCAGTTGATTGGTCCAGAGATTCTGTCGTTGGCTGAAATGGATGTGCCCCCAGAAGATCTCGTCTTCCACAAGTTCTATATGAACAAAATGAGCGCCTCAAAGAAGCAAAAGAAAAAGAAGAAGAAGAAAGGAGCAGAGGATGAGGCTGCTGAAGATCTATTTGGTGTTGACGGTGATGATGAGAGTGACAACGAAGAGATTGAGAACATGCTGGACTCTGCTAATCCTTCTTTAGAGGCAGACAGTGATTATGACTATGACGATTTGGATCAGGTTGCCATTGAAGACGATGATGACTTAGTTGGCAATGTAAGTGATGAAGAGATGGACATCCCATCAGATATTGCCGAGGGAGAAGATGATGAGGATGCTAACAATAATGACAGTGGAGGTGAAGATGATGATGTTGATATAGGAGATGCGGATGATGGAAGTGATGAAGGGGAGGAGGATGTATTTGACGAAAGAAAAAAGAAACGGAAGTCCAATAGGCGTCCCGGAGCTTCCCCATTTGCTAGTCTTGAAGAGTATGAGCATCTATTAGATGAGGATGCTCCAACAGAAAACAAATCTGGGGAACAAAAAAAAGCTAGGTCGAAGAAGAAGAGAAAGAAGTCCAAGTAAGTGCAGTTCCTTCTTGGGCTACGCCTTGAGAATGTAGTCATTACATATACTAGTTCATGGAGGGAGGGTTGGACAAAATGTCCAATGAATTTTGTGAGTTTAATTTGTTAGGGTTGAGGAGACATGGGAATGTTGTAATGTAGTATTTTTCTAACTAGCATGAAAAGAAATCTACAAAAGACTTAACTTTTATTGTTTGTCTATTTTTTCACTATAATTTCTTGTGGCTATAGCGGATCAGTTCCTGATTTGCGAACACTATTGGTTGAATTCATAGTCGAGTGGTGTTTTTGACTATTTGTTCTTTTTATTTGTTTTGTGTGAGTATATGTTTTATTGGAGGGTGGAGGGGGTTCAAAAAAGGTGAGAAAACATAGCAAATTGGTTAGGGTTAGGTTAGAGAGGTAGATTAGACCTCATGTTGAATTCGATTGAAGTTGGAATGACTTCTATTCTTAGTGTAGTGCGAGGTGGACTCAAATTTGGGTCGGTCGGGTGTCCATCTCTATTCCGGTGGTTCTACCCATATGGATGTAGGAAACAGTTTGATTTTGTACACTCTTTAACAAGGTGTGTGAACCAAAAAAATAAAAAAATGAAAGTCACTTTAAATGAGATTTAATGCATTATTTTAATTAATTATAAGATGTATGTTAATATGTATAAAATAATTTGTCAAAAAGTGGTGTCTCATGACGCCTGATGTGTAGATATTTTGAGAGTATTTTTAACGGGCTCTCCTTACAAAAAAAATACAAGCCAAATAATTTTTTTTTTTGTTGTTTTGTTTTTGACAAAGGTACATTTGACTTTCGAGCATTCGCATCAAACTAGCTAATATAGTTTTTCAATTAAATTAGTGATACTATTCATAAAAAATAGACGTTCATCAATCTCACTACAGTATCTCGCTAATTTGTGATTACTACAGTATCTCGCTCTACAGTATCTTGCTAATTTATAATTGCTACAGTACCTTGCTATAACAAGCGAGATATTGTTCATCGCTACAACATGGAGATTAGTGTTATCGAATGTCCGCTTGGAAGGTCAACGGCCAATTTTATTTTTTATTTTTTTTGCATTTTTTAAGAATTATTTGGTTGGTAACTCATCAATTTAATAAAAAAAAGAAAGAATAACAAATACAATAAGAAAATAATATTTTAATAAGATTAATTTAGAATAGAGAGTTTGATACAGTAATATTAAAGAGGTGACTAGCTAAAATAGTAAAATAGCTTTTTTAATTATAATTTGATTAAAAATTTGAAAAGACTAATGCGGATGCTCTTAGTGCCATAAGAGCATCAATATCAAACTCATTATTTATTTATGTCAGTTATTTTATACCCAAGAATTAGAAAAGGCATAAAATCATTGATCCATCGAACTCGGCAACGCAATCGGCAATTTTTATCAAACCCAAATCCCCTCGCTACAAATAACCAGGAACAAAGACTCAGCTATTGGACTGAAATTGGAAACTATTGAGCAACAGTACAATCTCTCTCTCGTCCTCCTCATTTTTTTTTTTCTTTTGATCTCTTAACTTAATATTGAATCAAGAGTTTGAATTGGATTTTGAATGTTGAGTGATGATACATTTACTGAATATTGAATATAGAGTTTCAAGAGTTATGAATTTTCCTTAATTGCTTGCATGGTGCTTGTTGAATTGCCACAATGAATATGTTGCAATGCAGGATTGAGTTTCAAACTTTCTGCAATACTGCTTTGAATGTAGAGGAGTTGTGAATTTCCTTAATTGCTTGCATGATGCTCATTGAATTGCCGCAATGAATCTACTGCTATGTAGGATTGGAATTCAAACTTTATACATATTGCTTTGGGTAGATTTTACACAGCACTATAAAATGTTTTTGGATACTTTATTGTAAAGCATGGTTTTTGAAAATAACAATGACCAAAGGTTGTCACAACCCAAACCGGGTACCCAAAGGCTCAGTGTCGCAACAAGATAAAAACAAAATAATTTTGTAGTTGTAGTGCAACGGATAAATTTAATAAATTAAAATAAAAAAATTGGGTACCAAATGTTTATTTAAAAGAAACAAAACATAGTCATTTGGGCTTTTATTTTATTATAAGAGTCCGATAAAAGAAAGAGCTAGAAATCTTGAAAAAAAGAAATAAAAAAAAAACAACACAACGATTCCTTTTCCATCTTGATCCCGCTAAACCTTGTCACCTGAAAGGGGTAACAACTATACGCACATAGCAGAGTGAGAAATATTATACGGTGAGTAAAAATAGCCATGGATAATTCTTTAAGCTAAACATTTAAGTTGCATAAATAAACTATTTAAGTGGCAGAAACTGAAATAAATATTATGTAAATAACTATAATCACGGTACAGAATAGGGGTCACTAGAGTGACAATCAGAACATGGATCTATGGATTCATGATAAACAGGGGACCACAAAGTGGTCAAACAGGGGCCAATGGTTATTTGAGTCCCCCAAGGCATGGGACTCTCGTGGTGGTACTTGCAGGAATAATCGTTTATAAGATCATTGTCAAATGATTTCTAAAATTTAAACATGGGTTTTGATTTAAGCAAATAGAGTTTAGAAAATAATCCACGTAATTGAAACATTAACCTAACCATAAAATATAAATTATATAAAATAAATTGCGGTAACTTGAAACATTTGTAAAATATATTATGGTAACTCAAGACATGTAGAAAACATATTATAGTAACTCAAGGTATAATAAAACTCACCTCTAATATAAATTTATCCCTATTCTTCCCGTACCACCGAACCTCCCGTGTTATTTCTTTTTCTACCGTTTCCATTGATTGGCTTCCTTGCTTCTACTATAATGCCCTATTTATATGCATCTATTCTTGGAGCTTAAGTTAATTTCGTGTTCTCAGAAGGCGCCACCTGGCCTGTCACTTGACTCTTACCTCACCAATTGACCAAAGGTCATCTAGAGATTAGTGTTGGCGTTATCTAATTCAATGGCTCTAGAAGATTATGGTTGGCGTCATCTAATTCAATGTCTCTAGAAGATTTGGGTTGGCTCCTTATAATTCTAAGAGTTGTCGCCCTCTTTGGTAATCCACAATGATCTCAAAAAATTTCGTATGATTATAGGTTAGGTTCGTATCTAAAAACCTCACTACCAAACTATAAAACATCACTTACCACTTTCTAAAATATTTAACGTGTGGTGTCTCACAATTTACTTCCTTAACAATTTAATCGATAAATTCCCAATTTCCTAAACTATGCATTTATTTATTTATTATTATTATTTTTATTTATTTATTTATTTATATTTTTTTTGAGTTCTTTTATTGCAAATTTTAAATTTTAAAAGAAAATTCGGGTGTCACAAAGGTGGAGCATGTCTATGTTGGTGAACAGTTTTTGATATTAGACTCAATGACTTTTCCTATCAATTTTTATATTTCATTAAGGTCATTAAGTAGAAATAGAGTACTCTATCAAATTTCTTACATTTATTCTTCAAAGGTATCTGCATACCTGAATCGTTTACAGTTTGGTCTTAAATGGGATGATGAGTTTTACAATGTTATTGTCAAAGTAGTAACCTTGATAAGCTAGATTGTGGCTTCTTCTTCTTTTTTTATTTTTTATTTTTTAAGTCTTATCTAGTTAATGATAGGCCACAATAACTTTCGAATTTGACAAGTTCTTAGGTAGTGTTTGGTTCATTGGAATGAAATGTTGGTTGATTAAAAAATAATGAGAATACATTTTAAATTGAATCATCATTCACCATTGCAATGGAATGATCATTTCATAGGATGGATTCTTAGACACCAACGGATGCGTACTTCACCAATCTATTACAAGGGAGATCCAACCTTTTAGGTGAATTTATGATAAATCTCCAAATCAAATGGATCAATGTTCAAGCCAACATGGTGAAGTGGCTGGGCAAGAGTCTTCATTGTCACGCCAAATAGAATCCACCATAAAGAAATCACAACGTGGTGGCAACTTCAGTAAAGAAGAAGACAATCTCCTTGTATCGGCATGGCTCAATACATGTAACGACCCCAAAATCTGTATCCAAAATTACTTTTAAGTCCTTGTGGATTAAAGTATTTTAATTTAATGATATCTGTTCAAATTGGGGAATTATCTGCTGAGCCACGGCTTTAAAATTGGCATTACCGACCTTTACGGGTTCAGAAATCGGAATTGAGTACTTGGGTATGTTAATGGAAATTTTTAGAATTATTTGGAAAAATTAATTAGAATTCTAATTTGTCTGATTCATTAATGCACGTTTGGGTGGTTAATTTTGTACTGCAATTATAGGCCTTCGAGGCTTCAGAAACCGGAACAGAGGACATATTTATGATCAGCATAATTTTTAGAGACATCTGGGAAGTTTAAATGAAATTTGATTTTGTGCGATTCGTAAGGCCATGTTTGGCTCTCCCTATTGTGTTAAATTTGTGTGTGTGGGTATATTTATATAATGGATGTCTTATGAGTTGATGGACTCATCTCTTAGAACCAAAAGTATCTTGAGAAAAGGGGGAGCCATGTAAGAGAGGGAGAGATAGAGAACTCAAAGAGAAGAAGGAAGGAAGAGCTTGAGGATGAAGAGGAAAGATGGGGGAATTGATGGAATTAAGGTAGACTTCAAGAGATTGGCTCTAGGTATGTGGAATCAACTTAACCCCTTAAGATTGATCTATTACTAGTTTAAATTCATAATCTAAAATGAAGAGAAACCACCTAATTGAGTTGGGGTTGAGAAATACGAGTTTAAATGAACTATTTCCATGAATTGAACCTTGATTTCCTTTAATTTGCTTGATGTGGGTTCAATCTTAAGAATGATTTATAGAATAACAAGATTTAAGGTGAGAATCAACCATGGGTAAGATGTATTTGCATGATTTTGAGCATACATTATGGAAGTTTGAATATATGGAAAAAATGAGACAAAGATTGATTTATTTGAGATGAGATTACACTTGGTTTATTTTAGTTTATCATGTTATTAGGCAATTTTACATGTTTTTGAGTAATTAGACTTGAAATCAAGCTTAAAAAATGGTTAGATCTAGTGTTGAAGCAAAAACTATTTTCGGATTGTCTGATTTTGCCCAGACCGCATGAGCGGCCACGGGCACCACACGAGCGGACATGAAGAAAAAAAAAGAGGTTTTCATTCTGCTTTTGGGCGCTCAAGCGGCCGGGTTCTTCCGCTCAAGCGGAATTGGGTCGCACGAGCGGCCAAAGTGGGCGCACGAGCGGCCAACCCTGTTTCAGCTTA